AAATTAAACATTTTCTTGCTCATATCTAAAGAAAACTCAGAATTTTGCTCACAATAACGAGACAAGAATACTGAATGAAGTTTGATGTTGTTGTAAAAACTGAATTAAGGACCAAATTAAATTATTTTACAACCTGGTATGGTGAATATTTATTGTGAAACGCATATAGAAAACAAGTCTCATTTTAGAGAATTGCGCAAGAAAAATGAAATTATAAAAAAAGACAATTTAAGTTCTTAATTGCAAATAAAGAAACTTAGGAATGTAATGTTCAAAGACATTTTACACGTGAAAGGATTCACTCCTAGAGAGACATAGATCCGACATGAGAACACATAAGTCCAAATATGTCGTCGTCCCTTCGTGTTTTCGCATTTTCGCATTTGAGGCGAAGACGCGAAAATATACGGATGGCGAAAATCAGCCACCATACATAATCCATTCAAGGCGAATTTCTCAAGCATGTCGAAAGGATGTCCAGAAATGTGTTAATATAAAACGGTGATATTTCGTGTGTTGATAAAAATACTGTTTAGATTCTATATGGTTTTGAAAAAAAAAACCTGTTTCTATGTAACTTTTCACGGAAATGGGCTGTACAATGATTGCGTAAAAACAATAAAATGTCGGCTGTAGAAATCGAAAGGCATTTTGTCACGTGACTTTTGCCCATGCTACCGAAAACTACCCATCACAATATCACGGCGTTGAGACGCCGTGAAATAAAATGTTTTAATGAAAATGTCTAGTCTATATGAATTTGATCCAATTAAAGTTACTAGTTTATTACGACATATAGTTAACAAAATCAGTTGCTGGTGGTGGTATCTGCTGACTTGTAGCTATCTGACTGTATAGTCTCTCGTCACGTGATTTCAAATCCTCATAGGTAACAGGAGAGTCACGCTCACGTGTGTCGTCTGTACAAAAATGGATAGTCATAATTAGAAATAAAGCATCTTGTTATAACATTTGGGGAGGGGGCATCTTTGTTCCGCTCCGTCCTATCTAAGGAATTTGTAGAGATATTACGAATATGGAAATTATTTCTTTAAATATTTTAGTGTTTCCTGTTGCAAAGGACACACAAAGAGATTAAATATTGCTCGTTAAATAGGCGTAATAAAAATATAATGACATCAAAATGCTTATGAATAATCAGTTTAATTTCTTACACCAGGTATGCAATAATTTGATAATTTATTTTCACTCATGCAAATGCGTTCATCTAGAAATATGCATGTTTGAACTAAGGAACTTTGATTTACGATATTAACTTTAACAACGATATGCATCAAATGATATAAGATCAATTAAAAAATTCCCATCAAGATATGAACAAAGATAGTGTTAATGAAAATAATGTTAAGAGAATTACCGTTAGAACGATTTTCACAAGGTCCTATAGTGTTTTCATATCCGTGTACCTCTAATTGTTTAGTTTGTATATTCCTAAAAATAGTGAAGGGAATGTGCATTAGTAACTGCATTTCATTTAGTTATATTTAGCAGTCTATTTTACCAGGTATTCGTTACCTTAAATCCAGTTTTAAGATATATTACATTAGGTGTATGTATAGATGTATGAACTGTTCCCTATATCTTCTTATCTGAGATAGTTTAAATACAATATAACAAAATATTAACCCCCTGAATTAACAATTATCGAAATTTGTAATGAAATATATTATGTTACAATATGATAAACAAGATCAACAAGGAAAGGCGAGTTCAATGAACGCAACCCCCGCCCGACCCAGTAACAAGAGCCAGTGGCAAGGAGCCCAGGAGGACCCCAAACAAAATCTGAAAAGGTAGAGCATGGGCATGCTAACCACTAAAACCATACAAAAGAGTAAATAATAAGTAACCTATAAGGAACTAAAAGAAAACAAATAAATGATTGAATAATAGGACAATAAAGTCAAAGGGCACAGGTGAAGGAGACATGAGACCCGGGGAAGGGGGAGGGTGGTAAATAAAACAAATAAAGACTAGGGACAAAGGGGACGATACTTACCGTAGACGAGAAAACAACAAGGGTCACAACAGTGTCACCAAAACAGTATGAAACAACATACCTCCGCCTCCATACAATGAAGGTAATCAAGGCGGCAATTCCAACAACAATACTGCCAGCTAGAAATGTCCCTATTGTAGATCCTATCAGTGTACTTCTTGTATAAAAGCCTTCTAGATCCGCTATAAGTGATGGAAAAGAATATTAATAATTTATATATTTGTCAAAAATTATAACTGTTTTTGTAGCTTTTTGAAAATGAGTCTTTAAATAAACAAGCAATTAGATGTGTAGCAAATTGTTAAAAAAAACTAAAGGTTTACTTCTTCTGTACGACACTATATTAACATGGAGTTAAAAATTAAATCTATTATTCTAGTATAATATCCTTCTTGGTCTGATATAACTGATAGAAAAATCTATAGTCTATATTTGTGTCGTAAATTGTAACTGATTTTGAAGCTTATCAAAATGAGTTTTAAAATAAAGTTATTAAATGCACAGCAAATTGTTATAATGCTTAAGGTTTACCACTGGTAAACGACATTACTTTAACATCGAGTAAAAAGTAAAAGCTATTCTTCAAATGGATAACAACAGACTTTTCTTAACAGTTATACTATTTAAAATATTTGCTTTTGACATAACATTTTATGAATTTACTATAATTCTTTTGCAAAACTGACTTACCTTCAATACATTTAGGTCCTTTAAATCCATTAATACAGCCATATAAACATTCCGCTGTTGTTTGGTTGCAGGTTGTATTTACACATAGACTACTGCAAATGTTGTCACATCTTTTGCCATAGAAACCATCTTTACATCCAAATAAACAATGACCATTTATAGCATCGCATGAACGTTTACCGGTATGAGAAAGACATGAAGTAGAACATGAATTATTACAAAACAATCCGTAAAAAATCATTTCACATCCTTCTAAACATTCTCCCGTTTTCAAGTCGCAGCTTTTATTGGTACATGTATTACCACATTGTTTTTCACAAAAATCGCCAAATTTTGTAACCAAGTTACATCCGTGTAAACACCTCCCTGTATCTTTTTCACAAACACGGTATTTTTCTGTCAATTTGCAATGCTGTCCAGTGGAAAATGAACAGGTTTTATCACAACCAGCTGGGCATGCATTTGCACATGTATCCCCATAAAAATCTGATTCACATTTTGTACAGTTTGTGTCCGAAAGACATTCTTTACAGTTTTCTGTGCACTTTAAATCACAATAGGGTCCGTATAAACCAGATAAGCACATGTCACATTTATACCCGACAAAACCAGGTTTGCATCCTTTATCACAGTACCCAGTTCCTTTATTACATATTTCATCGACACAACCAACCGAACATCTATATTGACAATATGATCCATAATGAGCATTGTTTTTACACCATGAACATCCTGTTTCTGATAAACAGGACCCACAGTTAATAGGACAAGTGTTGTTACATTCATCACCATACCTTAAACCTAAACAAGCATCACATTTACCTTTTGTAAAATATGACGATTTACAAGTACATTCACCTGATAATATCGAACACGCACTGTTAAGACAACCTTTTCCACATTGTGTATTACATTTGTTACTGTAATAACCAGGTTTACATTCTTTACATTCATTACCGTTAACGCAGGTTTTACAGTTGCTCAGACATTGTTTTGTGCATTTCTCCGTGTAATAACCGTCTATGCACCCTTTTAAACACATCTTATTTGAGGTGCATGCAAATAAGGTATCCTTACAACACGCGCACTCTTGACATGCCTGCATCGATAATCCTGAAATATAAATGTTCGATCATGCAAACACATTTGCCTGAATTTGGCTTACTTTCTTTTAAGAAATGAAATAAAGTAAGACTATTAAAGGATTGATAGAAATGACGGTTTGACATAAAATCGGAATTAACGACAGATAAAAACTACTAGTATTTAGAATATCACACAAATGAATTTCATTTTAAATAAGTAAAAATATATATATTAGAATTTATCAAACATCTACGGCTGCGTGTAATAGCTGTATTAAAAACAATATTCATTTATTTCTAAAAGTATATAATCATTTGCATTTCTTTAATAATTTTATTGTGCATTGTTTAATTTGTTTATTTACTTTTAGGTATTAATACAGAGACTTACCAAACTGGCAAAGCAATATAAGAAACACTGGTGATATTGTTCCAGTCATTGTTTCCACACGTGAACCATTGAACACAGATGTTTGAAATGCTGTTCAATTATGATCTTTAACAAATCAGCAGTTCAATAATTCAACTAGTCTGTATAACTACACTGCAAATTTCATCCATATTGATAACTTGGCTTATATGCATGTGTATCTAGATCCAATGCATGTAACATATGCTTAGATACTACTCAGCAGAAAACAATCTGTAAACTACTAAAAATGTGATCCGAAACGACTTTGCTTGCAGTATGCCTTTATTAAATGTAGTGTTTGAATTCGACAAGGTATATGTTGAAATGTTTATTATAGGGGTATCCCGATGATCTAATATCTGTACTGCTTCCGCAACTCATGAAATCCAAGTTCCAGATCATTACACTTCTACATATCATATTGTTTTAAATCCGAGAACATAAAGAAAAAAACATATTTAATTAATATTATTCATAACATTAAAGAGCTTATTCAACAAAATGATGCTTTTAACGTTTAAGCACTAAAAAATTAATTTATACATAAAAAATAAAGTAAATTGTCTATGACTTACTTGTTTGGTTAAGCGTGAATTCAACAAATGTCCGAAAACAAGGTAACATTAAAATAAACAAAACGTAGTGTAAATGACTGAAAAAAATTAAAAAGAATTAATAACAAATGAACGATTAAAATTGTTTATTTTATATTCAATAGATAGGTACTCGTTTATTTTATAGATAATGATCAAATTAGCAAACAAAACAATAGATGCCTATTGTCTAACATTTCATCATAATTTTAGACTTATTATTACAATGCTTACAATTCAAAACCTGTAACATATGTCAGAGTTAACTTATTTTAAATAATTTAGATAAACATATCCAACACGTAATCAATGCAATCTCAAACAGTTTTAATAATTATCGGTTACATAAGTGGTCTTCCTTTTCTACTTAATTGCTGTAAATTGTCGCTAAAATAGGATGGGTCACCTATTATTGCAGGTCTTATAACCCACATTGTCAACTTGTCTCTTATCCAAGGTGTAGTTCCTGATGATCTTAAGACTGCTAGAGTTGTCCCCATTTTTAAAAAGAGTTGGTAACTACAAGCCTGTGTCAATTTTAGTATCCAAGATTCTTGAAAAGGTAGTTTATGACCTAGTTGAAACATATTTTAAAGAGAATAAGCTGTTGTATAAATTCCAATCTAGTTTTTGAAATGGTTTCTCAACTGATACTTGTCCAATTTACATGACAGACTACATTAGGCATGACATTGATAAGGGTAATGTGGTAGGTGTGGCTCTGTTAGACTTACAGAAAGCCTTTGACACTGTTGACCATACCATTCTCTTAATGAAGCTTCAAGCGTCTGGTCTTGGTGATGACATTATAAGGTGGTTTAGGTCATATCTTTCTGCGTGACAACAGCTTGTTGATGTGTCAGGTAGTTTTTCTTCTACTTCAAGTATAACATGTGGTGTTCCCAAGGGTTCAATCCTTGGGCCCTCCTCTTTTTAATTTACGTCAATGACATGTCAGCGATAGTGAAAAATAGTCAATTGCTATATGCTGATGACTCTGAAATCTTGTTTCTGGAAAAAGTTTATCTGAGGAGGTAATTCCAGTATCTGAAGATTTGTCCTCAGTAAGTCAATGGTTAATTGATAATAAGTTATCGTTGCACTTAGGTAAAACTGAGTCAATTGTGTTGAGGTCTAAACAAAAACTCAGGTCACATTCCAAATTAATGTTATGTCATGTTTTAAGGTTAAAAACCAAATGGGCCCAGAGTACTTAAGTAGTTTTGTTTCTCAGGAATCGATACATTCTTATTGCACCAGACTGAGTAAAAAGTCGGGTATTGTCTTCCTAAGGTTAAAGGTTCTGGGTCAAAGTCTTTTAGTTTTATTTGAGCTAAACTATGGAACAGTCTTCCAACTTGTATAACTGAAATTAACAAATTTCATCGTTTTAAGGTAGCCATCAAAAGTCATTTTTTAAGTAGCATGTAAGTTTTTTTTGTTTGTTTCTTTTTTATTTCTTGCAAGAAAATTTTATATGTTTTCATTTTTTATTGAATTATTATTCGGCCCAGGTTTACTGTTTCATTTTCTGAAATTTGTTTTGAATTTTTATTAAGACTTTAAAAACTTTCTCTTTTTTTGAATAGCGTAATTTATGGCATGTTTTTTCCTTACATACTCATAACAACTGTGATAATTTTTTAATGTAATCTTTTCTTCTATGCACATGAGTATTTCTTGTGATAATTTTAAATGATATCCTTCATTTATGTGATTTTTCTTATAATAAGTATTTTTTTTTCTTTTATGAAATACCTCTCTTTGTCATGCCACCAAATGCTAAGGACCACAATGGTAATAAGAGCTTGCTCTTTTTTGTGTTATCCTTGGTTTTGGGAACATGTCATGGTTTACATAATATAGTATTTATTAATTCATTTTATTATTTATTTATTCATTTATTTGTAATTGTTTTAATCTATATTGTGTTGTTTATCATGTAACATGTTTACCTTTTATGCCGAAATAAATCTATCTATCTATAAATAGTTTTGTAAATCACATCCTTGTTCATTTAAGCAGAGAGTGTATCTTTATATCTCATAGTAATACTACTATAATATACTCGTGAGACGTAACTATAATAGAATATCAAATCACATGACTTTGGTGGCACGTAGCAGACGGTGCAGATAAGTCAATAACGAGGAAAATATTAACAAGATAGAACCAATTACAAATCATTGTCTGAAAAAATGGCAAGTATGGCTAATATTAGTAGTTTTATTAATACTAAAGTGACTGTCCACGGTATATACTAACTAAAAAGGTGAAAATCAAAATATATTGTGTCATATTGTCAAGGCAATGTCAGTAAATATCAATAGTTTTTTTACAGTCCTTTTATATTTCAGGCAGAATGTCAGTTGTTGGTTCGTCACTATTATAACAGCTAACCGTTTAAATATATTCGAAACAAATGGAAACAATGAGCATAACCTCACTTGAATGATGAATAAGTTTTGCTCTGTAGAATTGTATTTATTACAACTTTTGTATTTTTATTATATCTATTTATTTATGTATTTTATTTATTTATTTATGTATTTATTTGTTTATCTATATTTTTTATTTTTTATGCGGTACACATTCTTATTTCCTACAAAATCATTTGAAAATTGTACATTTTATAAAAGATACACGAATATTAGATAACGTTACTGAATCCTTTTAGAAAATAAATGAAATTGTTTGTGCTGTGTAATCTGTTTATGGCAAAGTATTTATTTTTGATAAAGAAGATACAATAGTTTAAGTCACTATTAATATAAAGTATGAACTAAAATTTGTTCCAAGTATTTATAAAAAAAACGATATGAATTACCGATTTCTTTCTTTCAAATTGAATACCAACAACGTTATAACATCAACATGAAAGAGGTATTGACACTTCCATTACATCCCTATTTAATTTTGCCAAGTTCTTCACCTCGATGGTAGAATATGTACGTGGTCCATCTAAAACACAGAATTTAATATCAAAATGTCAAAGATCAAGTATTGCATAAGTTGGTGTTACGAACTTATTGTACTTGTCAGATATGTTGCATTAGCCATTATCTCTTACAACTTCGAATTTGTAATTACCACTTTGTTGATCTCCCATTTTCAAATATTAGTTTTGTAACAAGAAAACAATTATTTCCGATCATTGCATCACGGTACAGAGTATTTTCTCAAATCGGAATATGATAAATTAAGCTTTCTAAAAGGTAAAGCAATTGTTTGCTTTGCAATTTGGTTTTCGGTGACTCTGTTATACACTACACATAATTATTTGCCATGAGTTTCATAACTATATTATATGTTAACTTAAAATTAGATCAACATAGATATCATACGTAATGATATATTCAGGTGGTTACAAGTATACATTTGTAATGCCGATAATTTTGAATGTTAAAAGTGAAACAGTTTTCTCGTTTCTCTTTTAATTCAATTAAATCCCGGATCCCGTTATTTACACTCCACCGCCAACCACACCTCGTCCCATTCATCCTACCAATTAAATCGTCGTTATCTCATAACTTGTTATAACATCTAATGAATCAAGTGTCTTTGCCGAAAAAATAGAATGACAATTATAGCTCTCACTGGCGATATTAAATTATTAGAATAAAACAGTATTCTATAAAATATTTAAAAACCTATCTACCTATTATATTTTAACAAAATTCAGAGACAAAATTTACTTATGTCATATTATATCGCAGTACAAGTAAAGATTGTTATATCAATAAATCTAAAAAGGAGAGATCACCCGAGATCCAGTAAATCAGAGCAAACAGTTGACAATTACAGGATTGGTTTTGTCAATTGTGATCATAAGAAATAATACGATATGCAATTTAAACGCTTTATAATCCAACAATACAAACATAAAGCAAATGATGTCTGATAGCGCTGGCGGAAGTTTAGAATGATATTCATACAAAATCATCTTTACTAAAGATAGGAAGACAAACTTAAAATATTGCTTAAGCAGAAAATGAATATATAGATAAAATGTTAAGTAGTAACAATTATACTTAATAGATAATAATAAATTGTAATTTATATTTCTAAAAGCCTGACTAGCTTATATTAATGATTTAAAAATAATTGAAAATGAAGTTCTACATATTCTGTTAATAAATACTCTATTCGCCAATAATGATTATGTGATCAAATTAGCTTAAAACGCACCACTAGTCTTAATCAATTTACCACGGCCATTTTGATAGAAACAGTGTACATATATAATATATGCATGTATTTAAAATTAGTTAAATTTTATCTAAAAAATAGTTCACATGCTTTAAAGGAACCATACCCAATACGTTCTCATTACAGTGCCAAAATATTTTTATATCAACATTTTTATCAATCGTTTTAAATAGTTTAGCTTGGGTTATAAATATTTTAGCATAAGATGTACCATTATTATCAAACATAACTCCTTTATATAAAATCTTTAAAATAAAATACCTCTTTTATTACCGGATATCCAAGTGATTTAGTAAACTACCTCTCACGTAAATACCTATGCAAAACACAAAACACACTTCCTTGTTGTACGTCATTCGAAATGAAGCGCATATTTATATATGTTTTTTTTATATTCTACTTAACTACACACCGTAAAGTCAAAATTGTTGTTTAAAAAAGACAAAGCGGATAATGTTACAGCAAAACGAAGTAAACGGGATTTGAAAAGGCAATAAGAAATATATATAAACACGCATCGTCACACCTCGTTTGAATTTAAATTATATCATAATGAATTTATGTATTTCGATTATTAAATCTAATGTGCATTCGAATCATATGTATACGAGGTATGATCAAAAAGTTCTGGGCCCGATATACTTCTAGCCACTATACTGACATTTACACACGATACGTCGATACCGATATCTTATTGAAGATTACTGACCGAGTTATACGCGGTTTTCTGTTTAAGTAACACAAAACATACTTTGATCAGTAGAGGGTGTGTCATTTAGGCCAAATAGAGAAAGTTGAAATCAGAGCCGTCATTAAATACCTCTGTAAGAAAGGGATGCCCCCAAGGAAATCCATGAAGACTTCATGTTTACACTTGGGAAGGAGTCCCCTTCCTATAGCACTGTGAAAAAATGGGCTGCTGAATTTAAAAGGGACAGGGATAGCATTGGCGATGATGAGCGGCCTTGGCGGCCAAAAGAGACCACCAACGATGAAACTGCCTAAGCTGTGCATGATATGGTCATGTGCGAGAGAAGTGGTAAAAGCTTTGGTTCAGTTCAGGCAAGTCTGACTGATGTCTATGGCATGTCAAAGGTGTCCGCTGGATGATTGGTCTCCAGACAGTTGACTGACGACTGGAAACGGACTATGTTTGACATTTTAAGATATCTTTGTTCTCTTTACGAGGATGAACCTGGTTATATATACTGGCTCGTAGCTCACGATGAAATATTGGTCCATCACTTCGATCCAGAATCCAAAAAAAACAGAGC